AATTGCTGAAGGGGGTTCTTTCGGAAGAGAAAGTAAATAAAGATAAAAATTATGAACAACAAATATGTAACTATCAACAAGTGAATCTAAAAACCAAGGAAATTAAAAAAAAAATCTGATGAACAATATTAACTGGTGAATATAATAGAATCAGAGGTATGGAAGGGGAGTGAACTGACGATTCTTGGGGAAAAGGGGAGAAGGGGATGTAGGAAGAGACTGAACATAAACTGTGCACCTATGGATGAGGACAATGGGGGGTGGGGGAAGAGCAGAGGGTGGGATGGGAACCTGGTGGGGGAGAGCAATGGAGGGTGAGGACGGAAGGAACATTTGTAATAATATGAACAATAAAAATTTATTTTTTTAAAAAAAGGCAACATGTGAAAGCAATAAATTGTATGATTTGGAAACTCATGAAGACCGAAAGGCTCTCTCTATTGAGTAACACCAGCTAGTGCACTCCTCTCCTTCATATCAATGCGGGCCACCAGGGTAGCCTGGCCGAAATACCAAGGAGGAAAGCACCGCTGGCATGTGCCCGGCTGACCTGCTTGTTAGTGGACTGCTGAAAAATCAAATGAACAGTGCACTGCCTATCTTTTTAGCCCCTTACCTCCCATTACCATGACAAGACTGAGAAACTTTAAGGAGCAGATACACTGGACACAGTCCAAAGCAGGACCAGTATCTCCAGAGAGTACAAAGCAGAGGGGTTACCGAATGCCACTGGAGGTTGTGAAATCAGCAACACTTGGCTTGCAGTTTCCTGCTTCCTCCCACAAGTTTAGTAAACCCTCAGCTGCACTCTTGTGACAACTTTCCTTTCATGGCTCTTACTTTGCAGGAAGTTTTCTAATAATTCCAATTATAACTATACCATGCACAGGAAGAGGTCATAAAAGGCCACACCCAGTTGTGGGGCAGGGATGGGAGTAGGGGGTGGATAAAGAACATGGGTAAGGTCTGGCCAGCATGGTTCAGTGGTTGAGCATTGACCTATGAACCAGGAAGTCAAGGTTTGATTCCCAGTCAGGGCACATGCCCAGGTTGTGATCTTGATCTTCAGTAGGGGATGTGCAGGAGGCAGCCAAACAATGAATGAATGAATATATGTATATATATATATATATATATATATATATATATATATACACACACACACACACACACACACACACACACACACTAAGAAAGTCAACTTAAAGGAGAACTGGAAGTTTCATGATATATAACAAAAGTTAGCAGAAAAAGGATTCCATGGTTTAATAACTTTAAGAAATGTTGGCTTAAAGTTGAGGATTTTTCAGAGCCTTTAACAAATTAACAAGCCTTATCAATCTTCAAGTAAAATAGGAATATGGAGTGATTCCCAAAACCTTATTACTCAGAACAAATATAATACTACTTTAAAAGTACTGTCTTGCTCAGCTGACATGGTTGAGCATCAACCTGTGAACCAAGAAGTCACAGTTCAATGCCAGCTCAATGTGGGGCGTGCAGGAGATGGCTGATCAATGATTCTCTCTCATCATTAATGTTTCTATCTCTCTCTCCCTCTCCCTTCTTCTCTGAAATCTATTTTCAAATATTTTTTTAAAAAGTACTATCGATATCTTAAAAAACATAAGGCAATTATTCCAGCCCCACACACTGGAGGAAAAAAAATAGCCTTGCTAATGCTGATTTGTTATTTTCACCCCTATCAGTACTCTCATTTTGTAAAAATTTTTTAAATTGATTTTAGAGAGGAAGGGAAGGAATAGAGAGATAGAAACATCGATGAGAAACAGCAATCAGCTGCCTCCTGCATGCCCCCTTTTGGCGATTGAGCCCAAAACCCAGGCAGGGCACATGACAGGTAATCGAACCTGGGAACTCTTGGTTCATGGGTCAACACTCAACCACTGAGCCACACCAGCCGGGCAGTACTCTCATTTTAAGAATGGTGGTAATGGAGATGACATAATAGTTTTTTCCTGGCTGGCCTAAATAACCCCAGAGCAGTGTAAGACAATATTTGAGCTTTAAAGACCTTTAAAACAGCACTGTTCTGGGAATCAGATCCAGGTCTGGGCTTCTTCCAGCTGCAAATTAGCCAGTGACTCAGGTATGTCCCATTCTCATTGGGTTCTTGGTTTTCTCATCTCTAAACTGAAGCGGTTAGAACAGACTTCTGAGGATATTCTCAGCTTTAATAATCCACCATGAACTCTGAATGCTAAATATATTTTCACAACCCACCATCAAGTGATAGAAAAAAGGTCTCTAGTTTGAAGGCTGACCTTTGCCTCCCTCCTCAGTTCTGGGCCAACACCATGGGTAAATGAAGCTGGGCTCACACCCTGTCACCAAAGGCTACACCCTCCACTGTCCCAGTCCTAGCAGTCGAGGAACCAGATGCTGTCCTTACAAAGAGAGGGATAGCAGCTCCAGGAGAAGGAGCTTAGGGGTCTCACTTCCAAAGCTCCTTCTCCCCACACAGCTGTGCACCAAGAGGGAAAACCAGCCCAGAGTATGGAGAAGAATCATAGCCACCAAACTCCCTTCTTCCTTCAAAGGATTCCCCAACCAGATGTTGCTATTCACAGGCCCACAGTTGTTTCCTGTCCTGCCATATTCTGGGATTGCCTGATGGACAGATTGTCTTGCTTGAATTCAGATATTTCTTCTACCACAGTTTGCACAATCATTTCTGGGGCTGAAGATGTAGTTTAATACTTTCCAGCTAGCACTAATACAAAGCTGAACTCAGGCCAACTATCTTGCCACTACTAGCAGTGGGGACAAGCTGACCACCTCTGTCGGATATCAACAGACATTTTAATTGTTTCTGACAGGAAAAAAAAAAAAAAGCAAATGATTACACAGTACACAAACCAAAAGCCTACTAGTTCTTTATGAAAACTCAAACTCCAGTATTATACAGCAATTTTGTAATTAAAGCGAAAAGTTACCAGAAGACACTGGCAAATAAAATGCAAATATTCTCTCTCTCTCTCTCTCTCTCTCTCTCTCTCTCTCTCTCTCTCTCTCTCTCTCTCTCTCTCTTTCTCTCTTGTTTTTTTGTTAATCCTCACTGAGGATATTTTCCCATTGATTTTTTTTATGGCCAGTAGGAGAGAGAAGGAAAGACAGAAAGAAACATTGATGTGATTAAAACACATCAATTGGTTGCCTCCTGCATGAGCCCTGACCCTAAATTGAACGTGCGACCCTTTGGTGCCCAGGCTGATGCTCTATTCACAGGGCCAAATGTTCTTTCTTTACTCAACTAACAGAGATGACTGAATTACATAAGAGACAAGGTCCTTGCTAAAGTTCCTGTCAAGAAGCATTAAGCAACAAGAATTCCCTGATTTTACAAAGAACACATCAACAAATTGTCTTGAAGATTTCCATTGGCTAAGTCACCTTGAGACCATGAAAGAAGCAAAAATGTTCAGTCTCCTAACAATGTATAGTAATTCTGTTCTAGTCTCTTTTGGGTTGGCTTTGAGGAGATTCAAGGTGGGAAAGCTCATGCTGTTAGTTGCAGAAAGGAGCCCTCCAAAAACTTCCCCTACACTTGCAGGAAGCTGACAACTACCAACGTCCAAGCAGGATGAATTAATGTGCCTGGTGACATCCTCACAGAGCAGAAACCTCAGGGCTCATAAATCACCAGTGAACACAAACAACTGTTTTTTTCCTAGAACTGGTTTTAAGCAGACATGAAACATGAAACAGGAGCTTGGGCACTAACAGGAGTCCCAGCATTTCATTATGGAAAGAGTGCCCCTGCCCCTTAGCTCAAAGGCGGAAAAGTTTTGGCTTTAAATATTAAGACTGTTTCTTACTCCATCGTTTGATTAAAATGTGAGGCCAACTCATAGGTCATTGCATCTCAACTACCCTGCCACCACATACAGGTCCATCAGACCAACATGAAGACCCTTAGAGCTCTCTCACTTCTCTCCCCTCACTAATCTGGGCTCTCCTACTAGCCAATTCAGTCCCAAGCAGACTCTTGGCCAAAGTGTATTTTTTTTAATGTTTTTATTGATTTTAGAGAGAGGGAGAGGGAGAGATAGACACATGGGTGAGAGAGAAGCATCAACATTGGTGGGCTGCCTCCTGACCACCCCCCACCGGGGATGAAGCCCGCAGGCCAGGCATGTGCCCCAATGAGAATGGAACCGGAGTCCTGGTCAACCACTGAGCAACGCTGGCTGGGCAAAAATGTATAATTCTTATCAAGGCCATATTTCGGCTTCTCACTATCTCCCTAGCTTTCTTTCCTAACAAATCTCTGGGTTCCTCTTACACCTTAAACTAGGGGTGTCGAACTCAAGCAGAGAAGGGGCCAAAATCTAAAATCCAGCCTAAATCGCGGGCCGAATGGTTTACTGAACAGTCATAAACTGTCACTGTGATGGAAACGCAGCGGAGTGCAGTGATGACAGCCCGGTGCGGTCCACATTGCAAGGCCTGGCGGGACAGATTTGGCCCGCGGGCCTTGTGTTTGACACATGTGCCTTAAACGATAGTTTGACTGTTGGGGTAAAGGAGACAGGGTGGTCTTGGGATTTCCACATTTCTCCATCCCACTAAGACTTCCACCTCTTCATTACGCTGCTGCCATCTCTCTCCCTCAAACCAAGACTGCAGGATTGGGGTAGTCACACTTCACCAAGCACTTGTGGTAAGTGAAGTTATTACTCTCTGACGCTCGGGGACTCTCCAGTCTGCTCCAGTCCCTTTCCCCGGGAGTACCTGCCAGAGGGCTTTGTCTGGGAAGTTAGAGGGTCCCACCTCTTCCCAGGTACCAGCGCCCAGCCCCTCCGCCGTCCACCTGCCGCTGGTACCGCCCCACACACGCTACGATAGGCCAGCCTTGAGAGCCCGCTCTCCCATTGGGCAGTCGGCCCATCCCTCCCACGCCACGTCTCCTGGCACAGGCGAAAAAGGCCTGGGTGGCGGCCTTCGGCCCTGGGGAGAGCGGTGTGTTGAAGCTCTACCTGGAAGGGGTTCACGTCCATTGGGTCCGCAAAGGGGTTGGTGTCGAAGGCTGACATGGTAGTCGGGGGCTGACGGGCGAGATTCGCGAGCGGCTCTGCCTCCGGGCGCCGAGACCCAGCGGCTCTCTCCTGTCAGATCCTCCACTTCCGGGAGCGATGCGGCCGTTCCGGCGCAGGCGCAGCGCCCTCCCCAGGGGGCGTGATCCTGCACGTAACAGAGGTGCGCTCCGCCCTCCTGCCCGCTCTCCTCGCCACCGGCCTCTTCCTGGTTCCCTTGCTTCCGCGTCCAGGAACTAGGAAGCCAGACTTGGGTGTCGGAGCCATCCCCCGCGGCCTCACTACCTGACAGCATCGAGATTTGTGTCGGAGACTCCCCAATATAAACTTTCCAAGTAAACTCCTGTAAGGGGAGCCGGAAACTTAACTCGTTCACTTCCATCGAGGGCAAGTTTGGGAAGCACTCTGGTCCAGACTGGGGAGGAGACTGCAATGGGAGTGTTCTAGTGGTAGGGCCGCAGAGGGGTTCTCTTCTGAAGAACCAGCCCTGCAGCTGTCCCCCACACTAGCTGAGCTCTGCTTCTTTTAGGCCTTGCCCCTTGATGCGCAGACAGGTTTAGGGTCTAAGTAAGCTGGGACTTGAACCTGAGCATCAAGTATTTGTTAAGTGAACGAAGAAGTTCAGCAATACAGCCATCAGCTATAGGGGAGGTAGCTGCACTCCCCACAAACTACCTTATTTATTCATCTCCCTGGCTTTGTTCATCTCTGCTACCACCGAATCCAGCCACTACCATTCCTTACTCTGGACTGGTGCAGGGCTGCTCATTGGTCTTTTGTTCATGTTGTAACCAGAGATCTATTTAAAGGGGACAAAATTATTATGGAACTTTATGTTGAAAATTCTTCAATTATCTAACCTAATAATAGAGTAATATTGACAATCACAGCTACACAAGCCATGCCCGCCAGCCAATCAGAGCGAGTATGCAAAGTAGACAAACAAAGATGGCGGTTAATTTGCATACACGGAGGGAGGGAAGACTGAAGACAGCATAGAAGGAAGAGGGAGGGAAAGTGGAAAGCATGGCAGCTGCTGGAGGGAAAGCATTGGCAGGGCAAGGGGGGCAGGGCGAGGTGTGCAGCAAAGTGCACAGCATCGGCAGGCTCTGGGTCAGGTGGGTGGGGTGGGGTGCGCCCCCCTCCCACCCACCCCGCTCTGCCCGCCACAGCAGGAGAGGTGGGGGTGCGGGAGAGGTGGGGGTGGTGGGAGGGAAGCCTGCCAGAAATCTTAAAGAAATATTCCTGCAACAGGTGCCTAGTTTTACATAAAGGTCCGAATTCTTAATTTGGCCTCTTGTTCCTACCCCTACTTTTGCCCACCCCCATGCATTTCAGTCCTCCTAGTGGCTTTTCAGTTCCTCAGACTTCCCTTATTCCCTCCTGCCTCAGGACCTTTGCACCAGATGTCCCTGCTTCCTAGTATGCTCTTAGCTCATGCCCTCATTGTCACCTAGTTAACTCCTAGTATCCTTCAAATTCAAGCTCAGATGCCCCTCAGGAGTGGCCTCTGTTCACACTGTAGGTTGGATCAGCCCTCTTCTCCACACATAAACTCATTATTAGCCTATACTTTTACTTCATAAAACCTATTGCAGATTGTAAGTACACATGTGGGTAGGTGGTTATTTATTTGTGCCTGTCTCTCCCACTAGATCGTAAGCTACACAGGTAGGAGTAGGGTCTGTTTTGCTCACTGTTGTAAATATTTACTATTTTCCTCATCCACTTACCTTGCTCTCCCCTGTCTAAATACCAGCTGAACTTTTCTTCAGGAAATGTCCTCAAGTGGGAGAATGGAAAGGAATCCAGGTTTGTGTCCCCTTAAAAATTACCCTAATCCCTCCCCCCAGCCACCCCTCCAAGGATACTATAAGGAAAGACTCTTGTTTTTCTTCTTTACTACTTATACAGAATACTTCTGGGACTAGACACAGGTTTTGTTTAGTTTTTGCCATACTAACCAATTCTCTGACACAGCTATGGTCATTTAATTCAGTTCTGATACTATCTACCTGGAGTTAGTTTAGCATCAGATCCCACAAGTTAAGGGCTAAGTCCCACTAGACTATCCTCACTTCAGATGGCAATTGCAAGTCTCAGATTGTCACCTGTGCTTCTATAAATCAAGATTCTTATGAACCCCTCGACAGGTTCAATAATTTAGAATTGCTTTCAGAATTCAGAGAAGCACATTTACTGGTTTCTTATATAATAAAGGATATGACAAAGGATGTAGATAAACAGCTAGTTGAAGAGATACATAGGGTGAAGTCTGGGTCCTGAGTGCAGGACCTTCTGTGCCGAAGAAGTTGGGGTGAATGTATTCACCAACCTGGAAGCTTTCCCAAGAGAGACTTCATCACATAGGCATGGTCATAATTGATAGTTAACTCAATCTCTCCTCTCTCCTCCCTGGGAGAGAGAAGGTAGGTGGAAAGTTTCAAGCTTCTAATCAAGGCTTGTTCTTTCTGGTGACCAACCATATCCTGAGGCTACCCAGAAGCCCACCAAGAGTTGCCTCATTAGAACAAAAAGTGCTTCAATTGCCCAGGAAATTCAAGGGATTTAGGAGCTCTGCCTCAGAAACCATGGTCAAAGACTAAACTTTAGGACAAAAAGATACCCCTAGCACTTTTATTGCTTAGGAAATTACAAAGGTTTTAGGAGTTCTGGACAGGAGTTGTTTATTATATCACTAGAGGCCCGGTGCATGGATTCATGCACCAGTGGGGTCCCTCAGCCTGGCCTGTGCCCTCTCATAATCTGGTACTCCTTGGGGGATGTCAGTTTTGGCCCAATCCTCTCAGGACAGGCCAAGGGACCCCACCTGGCTTCTAGTATGCATATAAGATCTTTGGTTAATCTCTTCCCATCCTCCCCCCTGCCTCCTTCCTTCTGAGATTATCAGTCTGTTCCATGTTTCCATGCCTCTGTGTTGAGTGTCTGCCCCCTGGTGGTCAGTGCACATCATAGTGAATAATTAAACAGTTGAACAGTCACTTAAGCTTTTATATCTATAATAGGGGCCCAGTGCATGAATTTGTGCACCTTGAAATGAACTGTGGCCCTGAGTCTGTGGTGGGCACAGGGGCAGGACTCAGGCCACCTCCGTGCCCCTGCCTGGCCCCTCCCACCATGGCCCCCAATCCCCTGATTGCCAGCAGACTTGCTCCTGCCACCACCGCTCCCATGCGCTGACAAGCACCGGCCCCACTCACACCCCATGATGGTGTGGAGCAATTGGGGCCAGCACCAACAGCAGGTTGGGGTGGGGCCAGCACCATCAGGGGGTGCAAGTGGCAAGGGCTGCTGCCCTAATTGCCTTTCAGGAGCAGGGGAGGTGGAGAAGCCCTCAGGAGCAACTGGGGATGACAGCAGGTGTGAGCGGTGGCTCCAGCGCCAGCCATGAGTATGGTGCACCAGGCGAGACCACAGCATGCAGGAGCAAAGAATTTTCAGTAACCACCAAAGACTCACCCCAATGACGGCAACTGGCACCCCCACTCACCTGCTCCACAATCCTGCCAAAGCCACCACCCACTGTTTTGCATGCATCCCCTGGTGGTCAGCTTGTCCACTTGTTCACCGGTTTTTCACTTGTTCACTTGTTCCACCATTCAGTCTATTTGCATGTTAGGATTTTATGTATAGATATATAACAGCCTAAGCTACCGTTATGACCGAAGGGGATTTTATATATACCGTGTTTCCCCGAAAATAAGACATCCCCAGAAAATAAGACCTAGCACAACTTTGGGAGAAAAAATTAATATAAGACACTGTCTTATTTTCGGGGAAACATGGTAGATATATAACAGCCTAAGATACCATTATGACTGAAGGACCAGAACAACAGGAACAACTCGTCAACCAGTCACTATGACATGCACTGTCCACCAGGAGGCAGACGCTCAACATAGGAGCTGCCTCCCTGGAGGTCAGTGCACACCCACAGACAATCACCTGTGGCCAGCCAGCGGCATTGGCGTCTGGCATCTGGTCCTTTTGCACCCTGCCTGGCAACTGTCACCTCCTCGCCGAAACCAGTTTGGCTCAGTGGTAGGGCTTTGGTCTGCGGACTGAAAGGTCCCAGGTTCGATTCCGGTCAAGGGCATGTACATTGGTTGCGGGCACATCCCCGGTAGGGAGTGTGCAAGAGGCAGCTGGTCGATGTTTCTCTCTCATTGACGTTTCTAGTTCTCTATCCCTCTATCCTCCTCTCTGTAAAAAATCAATAAAATATATTTTTAAAAACAAACAAAAAAACAAACTGTCACCTCCTCTCCTGACACTGCCAGGGCCTTTGGGCCCCCAGCTGAGATGGGGAACTGAGGGTGCTTGGCAACAGACACAGCCCCTTTCCCAAGAGCGGGGGGAGCAAGGGACAGGTCCCTCCTCAGGCCCCGCAGCCAACCACCCACACACCATTCCTCCTCCCCCCCAGACCAGCAGGCCCTAATTGGCCCACCACCCTCCCACCACCTGTCCACCATGTTGGTGGTGAAGGAAGGGGGGGAGGCAGGGAACTGTGCAGTGGTGGGGCACCTGTGTTGGTGTTCAGCATCCATTCCTTCCATGTTCTCTCCAGCAAACATCGCCTTCTCTCCTGCCCCCCTGGGCTGAGACAGGAAACCTGAGGTGGGTGGTGGTGAACTTAGCCCCTTTCCCAACAGTGCTAAGGGCCAGGTCCCTTCTTGGGGCCTGTAGCCAACCTCCATGCCCTGTTCTTCCTCCCAGCTGGCAGACCCTGATAGGCCCATGGTCCCTCCCCTATCCTTTCCCCCAGCTGGCAGGACCAAATTGATCAGCACTGATCACCAGCCAGGCCTAGGGACCCCACCTGTGCATGAATTCATGCACTGGGGCTCTAGTATATAGGTAATATCAAAGGAAGCATACGGAGGTATTTGCTGTCTGCAGCCTGAGAAAACAGTCTATACAACAGGAGGCTGTCCTGCCTCCTTGTCTGCCCAACCTAGTATAATAGTGGACAGGTGAAGAAAGAATGGAACTTGTTATCATCAGTGTACAGCTGGCCCACTTATCTGTCTTTGAAGTCACCTGGGATCTGTCCACTTTCCTGTGAAAGATACATCATGCATTTACTTATTAATTCACATATTCAACAAGGGAGGAGGTAT